ACGGTTGATTCATTCAGGAACGAAACACTGTCATGTTGCTCAGAGACGCAAAACAGTGCTGTGGCTGTGTTTGGAATTATTTTTGTTGTCGAAATAGCACAAAAACAGGCAATATGGTGTCTAAAACGCAAGTCTCTTAATTAACTTCTTGTAAAAAGTCAATATCACATTCGTACTCATGGTATTTTTTGGAGAAAAAAAGGCACTCTTTGATGTCAAATCGCACATCGTTAAAACAACAATTACGGTATTATCGCAGACGATATATATCGCACACCCCTATCTGGTGCTTTTAAATATTTTTACACATTCAGTCATTTTTGGTCGGACTGTAGAGCCCTGTGTAGTGTGCCGTTCTCTCTATTACTGATTTAGATTTTTTGCATGGGCACAAACCATCCTATTTTCTCATTGGGGAAGAAAAAAAAATGTAAACAAAATGTTTGTTTTTTCTTGTGCATTGCTCACTGGAAGCCGTTTCTGCACTAAAGATCAGTCCTGACGTGCATCAACAGCAAACGGCCATAAATCAGATGACAGCTCACCTTGATAGTGGCATACTCGGGCTCGTACGTGTCGTCCCAGAGGTCTTGTTCGTAGTAATAAAGTCCATCGTTAATGACTTTGCCCAGTTCGCTGGTCAGTTTGGAGCGTGAGGTGTGGTTCCCCGTCCGGTCTCCTCCGGGATGCTTGCGCAGGTACGGCGGCGTCTGAGTGACGATCAGAATCTTGTTGACGTCTTGATCGTTGATTTCACAGTCCGAATCCTCATCTGACCAGTCGGTGAAAGTGTTGCGTCGGCCGTCTATCTGCTCCATCTCCTCGTCGAACATGAAGTCCAGCTCCTCCGGCTCGTCCTGGTCCTCGCCTGCGCTCGGCCCGGTCTGAACCGGCGTCCGTGCTTCTTCCGCTTTCTGCAACAAACCGTCCATCAATGACACACATCAGTTTCACATGCTCCAGATTCAAGGCTGTCATTTCGGTATTTGCAATGCTCAAGAAACAAAAACTTGACTGCAATGTTAAAGAAGTAAGTTTAAACTTTATTTGGTAATGACGAACTCAACAATCTATTTTTTTCAAATGCTAAATCAACGTTTTAATTATACTACATGCATCAACAAAGTGCAATTAAAAATCAACTAGATCTATATTAGGCAAAACTGTGACATTAACATGCAGAGAGCTGATGGTACAGATTCTCTGAGAATAAAGTTGCACAGTGATTGCAAACGCTGTTGTACTCAACATAAAGTTGGTAGAAAGGATAATGAAAGTGTGGATGTGAAGTGGTGATAAGCATTATATTATTTTCAGCAATTATGTCCATCATTTGTGACCCTGGACCACAAAACCAGTTATAAGTGTCAATTTTTTAAAATTGAGATTTATACATCATCTGAAAGCTGAATAAATAATCTTTCCATTGTTAGGATAGGACAATATTTGGCTGAGATACAACTATTTGAAAATCTGGAATCTGAGGGTGCAAAAAAATCTAAATATTGAGAAAATCATCTTTAAAGTTGTCCAAATTAAGTTCTTAGCAATGCATATTACTAATCAAAAATTAAGTTTTGATATATTTATGGTAGGAAATGTACAAAATATCTTCATGGAACATGATCTTTACTTAATATCCGAATGATTTTTGGCATAAAAGAAAAATGTATAATTTTGACCCATACAATGTATTGTTGGCTATTGCTACAAATATACCCCAGCGACTTAAGACTGCTTTTGTGCTGCAGGGTCATATTTAGGTAAAATTTGTAATTAATTTGTAAATTTGTAATTTGAACCCTAAATTTGTATTATGTAAATATATCTAGTACAGTTCAATATAGTCAAGAGAACATCCAAGTCATGTTTTGTGTCAGTAATAAAAAGGGGGAAAATTATATTTTGCTTAAAAGAAAATGGAAGCTCATCTTTATATTTGTTGTATTTACCCCAATTCTAATGACTGAATATCTAATTTAGGGTTGGGCAATATGGCTAAAAATGATAATTTTTTTCCATATCATATGATATTGATATTTATTGCATTTACTGTTAATAGGGAAGGAAAAACTTTTCACATTTGTTAGACCTTGAGAATAAATGTAAACATAATTTTGTTTACAATTAAACGCTAGAGTAAACTTTTAATTTAGGACCCCATGAAATACATTTTTTTCCCCTAAATTATTTTTTTCTGGATTCTGAATGTTTTATGAGTCAATACCAATTTATCAGAATTGTTGGTGTCTAATGAAATGAGTTGATAAAACTAACAGTTTTTGATCATTCTTTTAAAATGTGATGAAATTAAATAAATTTACAACAAAACGCTGCATTTTTATTGTCAAGCAAGATGCTGCACAACAGAACTGTATAAATGACATTTAAAAAATCCTTGGTTGTATGATATTCCTTTTTAAAAAAATGATATTATTATTACTTATATTGTCCTATCATAACAAACCATACATCAATGGAAAGCTTATTTATTCAGCTTTCAGACGATGTTTTGTGCTCCAGGGTCACATATATTGAGTCATAGATGCACAGCGAGCGCCACATGTGCGTGTTTGAGTTTTTGTATCAGATGAAACGCCAAGACACACAGAACATGCAAACTTGGCCTATTAGCAACAAGCACTGACTGGCTGTTGTCACATTTATGCACGCTGTTACATTAATTTACATTGAGTAAAAATGTCCAGAGCTCATCATTGATTTCAACACATTTTATCGCGACTCAATATGATTTAGCCCTAATGTAATGTGTTTGTACCCTGAGTCGCCCTGGTGACGGCCGAGGCCTCTTCTTCACTTCGATCCATGACTCCGAGTCCAGATCTGGCAGGCTGGCAGACAGGCCCTTCGGCATCAGCTTCAGGTTACTCACATCACCGGTCTTGGGCCGCACCGGCGCCGAGGCTCTCGGAGAACCTGCGGGTCAAACCTTCAGTCAGAACTAGGGATGTAACAATATCAAAATCTCACGATACGGTATTTATTGCGATATTTAAAAAGAAAAAAAATAGAAATGAAGAATTGGGAAAAAATGAACATTTTGTACATTTTAAAGTTAAATTATTCTATCTAGTGCACTTTGAGAGTTTAAAATTAAGAGCTGCAACCCATGTTTTGAACTAAGAGGGGACTCAACCCTCTTAATATTTATGATATACTGTTTCAGTCTAAATTACACTCACACTGGTGTTTGAGGAAGCCAAACAAATCAGAATATAACAACAATGACCGTAATAGCCATATATTGTAAAGCAATTGCACTGTAAAATAACTGAAAATGTATATTTCATAGTTATATTATTTTTGCTTTACACTACAGCAGGGACATTACAATACTTCTTTCCTAATTTCTACACTTGAAAGAGATATTTTGAATTTGGGCTGCATTTAAACCGCTAGCTGTCAGCAATTCATATACTGCACTTTAACGCTTTTATTTGGAAGGAAAACTCCAGCTTCAGTGAAAACATGCTAACAAACACTAAATACTACAAATCTAGTGAAACGCTGTAATCATCTGCCGCGAAAATAAAGCTTAACTGGTGGCTGTTGCGTTCCCAAACACGTGCTAAACTCACAGCACATGCAATAAACGAGTTAACTGCATTAATTCAGTGTGAACGAGTCGTTCTGAGACGTGGAAAACACCGGATCACGAGCTGATCGTCTGAACCAAGTGCGCTTCGCTTTAAAACACGCAGCAAAAAGAGACTTAATGAAGGGATTAAGCATATTATGCTTTCGGTTTTAGTTCGTTTGACAGATAATGTGCGCCAAAGCATAATGGCCCAAAACAAATATATTTTAAAAACTACACTTTTTGCCCGGAAGACCTATCGTTTAATATCGTCATGTGACCACGATAATATCAAGACAGTTTTGCTATCGTGATACTGATAATACTGTTACATCGCTAGTCAGAACTGGCTCATCTCACGCCAGAGCTCGCGCTCACCTGTCTGCTTCTCCACAACGGTCCTGGGAACAAACTCTGGGCAGTCGATGAGCTGAGAGAAGTCTGTGTGCGAATGGTCCGGCAAAGCGAGGCCGGGCAGCGGCCATTTCTCAGGCTCCTCCTTGCAGCGAATCTTCATATCGGTGATCTCCACCACCTTACTGTCCTTCAGGGCCTGAAAGAAAAGCAAACGTCACGGGTTCAAACGCGGCGGCTCATAAGGCAGCGGTGCGACCGGCCAGCGGAGGATCTGACCTCTATGATGAGGCGGAAGTCTGTGGTGAGCGCCTGCACTCGGTGGAAGCTCGCGATCAGAGCGATCGGCAGGAAGCCCTCCTGATCCATCTTCCTGCGCAGGAAGAAATCCCTCTCCAGGTTGTCCATGCTGAAGTAGTATTCACTGCAGAAACAAACACACCGTCTCAACACGGGGAGAAGACCACACACAACTCTTGTTTTTAACATCTGTGTTCATGCATTCATGTGTTTCCAACAGCTCGAATAATGCAGAAACATTTGGCAATTCACTACAAAAGAACCGACTCTGCAACGCCATTCGTTCACAAATGAATAGCTCGCATTGCTAGTTTTTAAAGGGTCATGAAACACTAAACTACATTTTCTGAGGTGCTTGTGTTGAATTGTGAATGTAGGACCAGCGCTCCTAAAAAGAAAAGTAATCGTAGAGCCCTGTGTAACAGTATATTAGATCCGTGCATGAGGTCTTAAAGAGACAGCAGATTGGCGATTGTCAAGTTCATCCACTTCGTCTCGCAGCACAAAGCACTGTAAAGATCCTTGCAGACCGAGTTCACAGAAATCGGTGGTCTTCTTTTTAATATGTGACCCTGGAGCACAAAACCAGTCATAAGGGTCAATTTTTCGAAATTGAAATTTATACATCATCTGAAGCTGAATAAATAAGCTTTCCATTGATGTATGGTTTGTTA